AAAAAATGTGTTACAAATGAAAATGAAAGCCAACCAAACATTATTTTGTGTTACAGGTGATAGAGAAAGTCAACCAAACAGTATTTTGTGTTACAGGTTATAGAGAAAGAAGCTAACTAAGTCCCAAATTCGGTTTAAAAAAAAATAAAAAAATGCATTGTATTTATAGAAAAATCAAGTCAATTTTGCTTGTTGAATAATTCATAGTGTAGATATATTGTGTAGATATATTGGGATTGCCTTGTTTGGAAACAAAAGGATGAACACTTCAACACGTCAGGTTATTTACATATCATTGTCTACTGTTACAGCAACTGGAAAGTGGGATAAAGAACCATCAAGGCACAGTCAACAGTATGAATGCGTCCGGCAACGAAATCATCCGTCAGTCTGCAGCCCTCGACGCAGCCACCCTCAGGGGCAAGCTTGAGTCCCTAAACCAGCGCTGGAAAAACATCTGTACAGCTGTCCTGGAACGGAATGATCGGTGAGTTGGGGATGGCCTCATATGTTTGTCCTTTGTTAATGTTATGGAATATTGTATTAAGGATGCCACTTAATATGTTTATCATTTTAATCACCCCCTTCACGAATGTTACACCCCTCCCTACTTTATTCATGTGAAAGATGGGTTTTTTCTCTACACTAACTCATTTACCCCTGAAGACACATTTAAACTCCTTCAATTCAGAGGTTGGAATAGTTCATTATGAAATTTCAGGTGTGAATGAGTTAAATGATGACATCAGTTTTATGTTACCTCTACTATGACATCATAATTTAGGTCTTAGAAAGATATCAACGACTCTATAAATATAGTACCAGCAAACCTGATCATGTGATCTTGCACCTCTGTTAAGCGACCACCTGTTTTAAGAGGCCAAATAATATGTTCCCCATTGTGTCAATTTCACTGTGATTTGAACCTGTGTTAAGAGACCACCTCTCTTCATATACACTGTAGACCTGTTTGGACTTCTCGATGATGGTTTACAGGTTTCACCGTAAAACTGACACATTGAAGGGACGATGTGTAACCTAAGATATTTATACCCTTTATACTGTAATCTCACTCGAGATTTCTGTTGCAGGTCTGAGACAGAGAGTGTGAAAACTGTCGACTTTACTTTTGACATGGACGAGTTATTTTTCTGGATTGATGAGACAGAAAATATTCTGTCAACTTTTGTGATATTGGAAGAGGATGCTTTAGAGGAACTCCTGGAGAAGATGAGGGTAGGTCACACAGAGGTCATCAAAGTAGGTCAAGTACATAAACAATATCAGGTTAGATATCATTTAGAGGGTAAAACTTGGTCAAGGACACAGACAGACTGCGAGTATAGGTATCAACAAGACCATGCATTGTAGCAGTAGGTCAATGTTAAAGTGAATTGAGTAAGCCTTTTGTAGAGGTCATGAAGATATGTCAAATGCACAAAGAAATATCAGATTGAATCTTGTATAGTGTACGTATATATCTGTAGCTCAAGGTCACAGATAGAATAAGGGTAGGTCTCAGAGAGGTCACACCTGTAGGTCAAAGTGGTAGTGAAAATAAGGTTATATATAAGTGTACAACATGTCTAAACTAGACAGAAAATGAGGTTAGATATAAGTGTATAACATGTCTAAACTTGACAGAAAATGAGGTTAGATATAAGTGTACAACATGTCTAAAGTAGACAGAAAATGAGGTTAGATATAAGTGTATAACATGTCTAAAATAGACAGAAAATGAGGTTAGATATAAGTGTACAACATGTCTAAACTGGACAGAAAATGAGGTTAGATATAAGTGTACAACATGTCGAAACTAGGCAGAAAATGAGGTTAGATATAAGTGTATAACATGTCTAAAATAGACAGAAAATGAGGTTAGATATAAGTGTACAACATGTCTAAACTTAGCAGAAAATGAGGTAAGATATAAGTGTACAACATGTCGAAACTAGACAGAAAATGAGGTTAGATATAAGTGTATAACATGTCTAAACTAGACAGAAAATGAGGTTAGATATAAGCTAGTGTACAACATGTCTAAACTAGGCAGAAAATGAGGATAGATATAAGTGTATAACATGTCTAAACTAGACAGAAAATAAGGTTAAATATAAGTGTACAACATGTCTAAACTAGGCAGAAAATAAGGTTAGATATAAGTGTACAGCATGTCTAAACTAGGCAGAAAATGAGGTTAGATATAAGTGTACAACATGTCTAAAGTAGACAGAAAATGAGGTTAGATATAAGTGTATAACATGTCTAAACTTGACAGAAAATGAGGTTAGATATAAGTGAACAACATGTCTAAACTAGACAGAAAATGAGGTTAGATATAAGTGTATAACATGTCTAAACTAGACAGAAAATAAGGTTAAATATAAGTGTACAACATGTCTAAACTAGGCAGAAAATAAGGTTAGATATAAGTGTACAGCATGTCTAAACTAGGCAGAAAATGAGGTTAGATATAAGTGTACAGCATGTCTAAACTAGGCAGAAAATGAGGTTAGATATAAGTGTATAACATGTCTAAAATAGACAGAAAATGAGGTTAGATATAAGTGTACAACATGTCGAAACTAGGCAGAAAATGAGGTTAGATATAAGTGTACAGCATGTCTAAACTAGGCAGAAAATGAGGTTAGATATAAGTGTACAGCATGTCTAAACTAGGCAGAAAATGAGGTTAGATATAAGTGTACAACATGTCGAAACTAGGCAGAAAATGAGGTTAGATATAAGTGTACAGCATGTCTAAACTAGGCAGAAAATGAGGTTAGATATAAGTGTACAGCATGTCTAAACTAGGCAGAAAATGAGGTTAGATATAAGTGTACAACATGTCTAAAGTAGACAGAAAATGAGGTTAGATATAAGTGTATAACATGTCTAAAATAGACAGAAAATGAGGTTAGATATAAGTGTACAACATGTCTAATCTAGACAGAAAATGAGGTTAGATATAAGTGTACAACATGTCTAAACTAGACAGAAAATGAGGTTAGATATAAGTGCACAACATGTCTAAACTAGACAAAAAATGAGGATGGATATAAGTGCAAAACATGTCTAAACTAGACAGAAAATGAGGTTAGATATAAATGCACAATATGTCTAAACTAGACAGAAAATAAGGATGGATATGGTGTAAAGGATGCAACTTGAGATCAAAGTCATAACGAAAAGGGAAGTAGAGCACAGAAGTAGATCAAGGTCATGGATAAAATCATGGTAGATATCATTTAAAGTGTGCAATATGCTAGCTGTAAGCGCCAAAATGGCAGCACCAGCTGTATACGTATGCCCCCCAGGGAGTTGAGAAAGATGTTGGCTGGTTGCAAAGGCCCTATAACCACGGATAATAATTTGTGAAACGCTTTGAGACGACCTTCTTACTAGGTTGTGATAAAGCGGTATATAAGAATCTCAAATTATAAAATCATGTCAAGTTGAGGGCACAGAAGTAGGTCAAGGTCTTGAAGAAAAAGACAATAGATTTCTTGAAAATGGTACAAGATTTATGTAGATCTTACAGCTATGTATATGGCTAAGATATGATGAGGTCACTTAATTGTCACAATTCTTGAAGGTAGACTTGAATGCTATTATAAAATATGGACAATGATAAAAAATTGTGTATGTTATACATTACTTATTGACTATGTTATGCATTTATGTTGTTAAGTTATCTACTGTCAGTTTGCGAATATGTGTTACAGACATTGATTGCCATGCCGATTTGGTCGTTACCTTTTATGAAGACTGATTTTACACTTATGAAGTTAAAGCTTATAGATTCATAAGATGGAAAACACATCCACACATAAATCAACATTCTTCAATATCTGTGGTGTAAGTTTCTATCAGTAGCCTTTATTTTGTAGGATCGGGAGGATGAAATTTCTACAAAGCAACAGATCCTGGATGCAATCAACAGAAATGGTCACTCCATGCTTAAACAGGAGACAATGTCGGTAGAAGATAAGGAAAACATAGGCAAGGATCTGGAGAATCTCACCACTAGGTTTGCCAAGGTTAGCAGAGTTATCTCCCTTTATGTGGATTTTTTTAGTTTCATTTGATCCAGGTTGCAGGGATCATCCTGGAGGGGGCCATGGGGCCATTGACCCCTCAAAAATGAAATTGACCCCTCCATGTTTAAATTTTCTTTCAATTTTATATAGAATAGTCCCTCTTTATTTTGATATTGACTAAAAATTGCTGAAATGGCCCAGTACTGCTCTCAAATTCCAGGATTTTCCCTGAGGTGAAGGGTAAACTGTCATCAACAGTAATATTATCCAAGTTTTTGAAAGTGTTTTCTAAAGTCCCATAAATATATTATAAATGATTGTTTATTTTGCCAAAGTCTTCAGAAAATAACTATTAATATTGGATCTATTTTTTTCTCCAGGTTTCAAGATTAAGGGAATAAATAATATATGCTAATTAACATTCATATCCTACCAAGCTTAGATTTCAGCTTACCATTAATGTCAGTAGCTGTTGGTCCATGTCTTAACCTGGTTTTAGTCTTGATCATATCTCAGGTTTTATCTGATATTTCTACTTAACTGTCATGCAAAGTCTGTATTATAATAATGTATATAACAGGTATCTGCACAAATTCAAAAGTCAATCTCTTTTAACTTTTTTACTGTTGCAATCTAACATGGAAGTTATAAACTATGTCACGATGAATTATCATAAACATGTGGGGAGAATATCTGTATTTATTTGAACATAAAGGTATTTTCAGTGAAACAAATCATAGCAAAGACAAATTTCTACAGTTAAAGTTGTCACAAAAGAAGTTATTGATTTATAGTAATACCGGTAATTACCGTCATTAATTAGATACGTTTATTTTTCTTACCCAGGTTTCGAGAGAACTACCAGGCCAGATCAAGGTGATGGAGGGACGGCTACACAAACTGCGTACATTCCAACTAGAAATTGATGAACTACAGACGTGGCTGGAGTCCACAAGACAAGTCCTGGAGCTACAACAGAAACCCTCCGGCCTAGAGGAGACAGACGCCATGATCCTAGACCACCAGGTACGCAGTCAAACCATCGTTTATAAATTTTCTTTTCTCAATGGCTCTAGTTAATTTGAAATAAATTCTGTCTGAAATCACATACAAATGTTTCTCTAAATTATAAACCTGTAAAATATGATAGATATACAGTTTGTCAATATGTAGTCAAGCATAAATCACTTATACTTTACTAATTATTACTTTACTAAAAGGAAAACATTTCTGTTAATGTGCCAGGGAAGTGCATTTTAAACATGTGAAAATTGATTTAGACATCAAATCATAACGTTACCTTTGGAACTCAAATTGTTGCAAGGAAGCACAATCACGATAGTTCTCGGATTTAAAGAAAAAAAATGGGGGGTTGACGGAAAGAGTGACTAAAACATATTTCTGGAAATGAGATCTTATATGACCTTTTGACCTCCAGCCAACCCCTGAGGCCCTGGTGGTGCGACAGTCCAATGTGGACAACCTCAACTTGCGCTACAGTCAGTTGATGGAGGAGAGTGCCCAGGATGAGATCATCGTCCCGGATACCATCCAGCAGCAACTCAACAACCTCAACTCTGATTGGCTGTTAGTCAAACAGCTCGCAGAAAATGTGAAACCTGTTGCGGAGGTTAAAGTGGAGGAAGTAATGAAACAAGGTAGGGGACATAGCAGAAATACTGGAATCAGCTGGTCCATATGTCAGTTAATGTTTGGAAATCAGTGGAAATTTACGAGTGATCGAAGGTTATTCACCAACCTATGATTGACAAATATACATCTGTAGGGGAACTGGAAAGGGTCGATCATCGGCGACCAGGTAGCTCAATTGGTAGAGTGCCCGACTAGAGTTCGGAGGGTCCTGGGTTTGAACCCCTGTCTGACCATGCATTTTCCCTCTCCTGTTACACGTTTAACATTTATCCTTGGGAGAAACCATAATGGTCTACATGTCATGAAAAATTCTGTTAAAAAAACAGCCAGTTTTTACAGACTCTGATATAATATTAGCCACTAGGTAGAACTAAGTCTGGGATACATTATCATACCAACAGAGCAGCAAAAGCACATACTTTGAGGAATTTATCCGTATTATAAAACACAGCAATTAGCTTGAAATAATGATGCACTGCACCCCATCACATCATGACATCATCTGTTGACTAAAATTGATCATGAAATCTGTAGCTGATTAATCAGTTAAATGACCAACAAATAATTAAATAAAGTCGACTAATTGGAACCCCAATACTTTTTATAGACATAGTCTTGTCTGGAAAACTTGTCTTGACAATTATGAGATTTGGTATTCTGTAACATGATCTATTTCACTCCTGGCACACACATATGTGGATGAATTGATATGTATCAAAATTAGCATTTAATGGCTTACAACTTCAGTTTGCATCAGTCATTCTATTAAATATGATCAACATACAGTCAGTTTAACCTTTACTTCTGCTAATGTTACAGTTAAAGTGGGTCAGGTGGAGCTTCACCAGAGTACGACCAAGGTGACACAGATAGAACTTCACCAGACGTCACCCTGGCCAGACTTCGACAAGTCTCTGGCTGAGCTCCGCGACTGGCTCACACTTCTCGAGAGGATGCTCAAGTCACAACGTGTTACTGTCGGCGACATCAAGGACATCGAGCAGATGATACAGCGCCAGACGGTCAGTCTCATGTCAATCTGTGTCGTTATAGTGCTTGTCTTTGTCTTGTCATTATATAGAGCTTGTCTTTGTACTGTTGCTTTGAAATATTTTTATAATCACAATTTTCATTTCCTTAGTAACAGTAGAGATGGTTGTTAAATAAAAACACAAATGATATGATTTATAAATCAGTAAATGATTCAGTGTTGTGCAAAAATTCATCTCATTTATCCAAAAACCTGTATGGTATTTGACTTTTTTATCCTGATTTAACATCAGGCCAAATCTACCAAATTATTTATTCAACCTGTAAAAGGGAAGTAACTCTCAAAACCATTTTGACACCCAATGTCTTGTTATTGTGAACTCAAAGCTTCTGTACAACTGTTAACTACATTATCATGTATTCATTGAAATTGCATGGATCAGTATTATTTATCTAACATGATTTATTCTTAATTTGGCATATCATATATTTTATATCACTGCATTATAATATGGATGGTAGATAAAGAGGTTTTAAAAGTGCACTCTGTATTTAATAGAAAATTGTATTCCATATACTCATATAACTGTATCATTCATTATTGCATTTGTAGTGTAGTGTTGTGTTGTGCATCTGTCTGTCCTTCAAAAATAATTTCTTACTAATTTGTAGCAAAAACATTTCCCCATTAAAAAAATAAGATTGATCCTTTAGTTTGGTTTTTGTCTAACCGCGCGCCGCCACGAAGAAGCAGAAGCAAGACTAAGGTGTTGCTATTCCGGCGATGATGGTGGCGGCGGTGTCAACTTTCAGTTTTTGATGAGTTTATGTTAGTTTCACTGAAAGTATCACTGAAAGTTTCAGTATCACTGAAAGTATAACTGCTAGATCCACCAAACTTGACATGTGCACTGATGGTCAAAGCGGGGCACAGGCGAGACATATCAATCCAAATTGACTTGTTGAAATCTTAACTCATGAAAAATAGATTTGATACCTTTTGAGATCAGTTGCAGCAGCTGTATCGCATCATAACAGAATATCACCTTAGGTTGTTTGACACTGTTTCCTGTTCTGATGACAACTGTCACAAGCTACTTTATATAAAACTGAATAAATTTATCTCAGCTCTTTAGAGTTTAATCCCAGACAACGGTCTTATTGTCGTGCAGTTAGTGCTAGATGTCCTATACTTGCTATGATCATTATTTTCTTTCCCAATATCAATAACGTTGATCTTCGGAATCATTTTTTTTTCAACCAACCTAGAATGTACATTGAATTTTAAAAAATTCAACTTAAACAATCCCCATTTTGAAATAAAAAACAATCCCCATTTTGAAGTAAACTATATTAACAACAGGTGAGGAAATGGGTCACCCTTGAGATTATAAACAATAAACTTAAATACTTCCAAAAGTGTTGAATAAAGAAAAATGATATTTAGGAAGAATAGAACACTGAAGATGCTCCATTATTTGAGAAAATTTGGTTCTCTAAAAAGTTTCTGGGGAAACTAATTTGTCGATGTTTATGAAGTAAAATCCTGCTGTCCAGCCATTGTCAGGACAAGTGTGTACGTCTGTGTGGCCTTTTCTCATCTGTAACCAGTACTAGTGTTGTCTGTGTATTATTTCTTTGCTTTGCTGTGATAACTAATCTTCTGTTTGCTGACCGCTGTGTGTGCTTCCTTGGTTTCTCCACCAGTCCTCAGACAGCGACAGCAGTTTGAATCTGTCGGAGCATGACCTTAGTGCCGTCGACCTTGACCTTGACGATGCTCATGCGCTCATTCATGATATGTCTCAGCAGCTCACGCACCTACAGGTCTGTGGGGACTTTTACTTTGGTTGTCTTAGTTTTGCTGCATTAAAAAAAAATCAGCTTAAAGGCACCAGTTAGAAATATGAAGCTTTCAATGGTGAAGGTGTTTGTCATAAACTGTTTTTTGTATAGTGCTTTAAATTGACAGGGGACAATATATTTCACATTTATAACAACAGATATTCACAGTTATCAAACTCTTTATGTAGCTTTTTCACTTTGTTCAAGCATTCTAATCAACTTATACTGGTGTCAATATATTTTCTCACATTTCATGAAGTGAAAATCAACTCTTTTTCAGTAATTTTGTGAAATTCTAGTTTCCGCTGACATTAATTGATTTAAAACAAAATGTGAATATATTGATGATCACTTTCCTAAACACTTTTTAGCACTATACATCTCATCACTGCTTTTAACCCATATGCACTTTAACTTGGCAGTCTTCAAAATGTGAAATAGTATATAAGATATATATGATATGTAATTTTTTTCTTTCAAATTGATGAATTACTTTACAGAAACTATTGCTTAAAGATTTGAGTACTATAAAATTACAGGTACAAAAAATGTTATATATTTGTTGAAATTTTACGATACTGCAGAAAGTGGCAAAGGTCTGCAAAACGTAATTTCATACCGGATTTTTCATTGAACTCATTAATTTTCATAAAAGAAAAGGTTTTGTAGAACTCCAGCGTAAAGGACTTTCTTTATTTGATTCTTTTGAAATTCATCTATCAAAATATAATGACATTCAGGTCTCGAAAAGGTTTACATTAAATTTGATTTGGTATATAATCTTGCAATGTTATTATTCACAGAGATGTTAAGTAGATGTCGATGAAAGTACAGCTTTCTCCGGAATACAATTGACAAGAGCATGTGTTTGTGTTTTCGTGTGTGGTGGATAATGTGATCACAGATCGGAGGTTATATGTATGCCTATTTTAACATGATTACTGGAGAACACATCCATGTAATCAACCTTTTCTGGGAAACATAGCTACACAAATCTATTTATGGATGTGCCTTTCTTCTGTTGTCTTTATAGCATTAAAATTTAATTGGTTTAGTTTGGGTTTTCTTAGAAACATACGTTATGATACCAATATCTGATTGGGTCGTGAAATGTAATCCAGCCAGCTGATTGGTCGGTGAGGTCAATACTGATCGTACAATCAGTCATCAACCAAATATTGTGAACCAGCTTTCGCTTCAGCAATTCAAAGTCCTGAAATTTAAATTTTAATGAGGTTGTAAATGGAACATTTGCAATTGTACTCTTGAAGAGGGTTTTGGAATACAATAAAATAGATGCATTCTTGAACCCACAAAATTAATCAACTTGGAAATGTACATATTATAGATTTATCGTTCTGTAACACACTTCAGGGGATTCTAATGTCCACAGAGTATGTTATCAAGCAAGAGGTTTTCACCTTCACGGAAGTATCATTATTTTGGCCTAAATGTTAAGCTTTCAATAGGTTTCATTGAAAATAGAATAGAACTTAACATCAGTAGCCAAGTTATATTATTGAACAAAGACGTATTGATTGGTAAAAAAACAAAACACTGGAATATTACAAAAGCTAGGAAAAGAAATGAATCGGCTTACACCATATTTTCATCATATTATAAGAATGTAATTACCATCACTGCACTTTTGTAAATACAGTGGCTATATATAATGGTCAAAATAGTCAGTATGTGAAAATATTTGTTTGAAGGTCAAAGGTCATGGTATAGGAGATTTGTTAAGTCAAAATTCAAGGTAATGAGAGGTTTGTCATAGGATTAAAGATCAGAATCAGGGGAGATAACCACTTCAGAAACTGTTGAACTCATTCACCCCTACATATATAAACTGGACTTGCCCAGTCTTTGATTTGGTAAGTTTCAAGTGTGACTTAAGGGGTGAATGGGTTAAGCAGATGACCATGAATTGTAGTTCTTTTGGCCATAATTAGATTGACAGTGTTGGCCATTACAGTGTTCATCAGGGACATGACCTTATATTGCTTGGAGCACAAGGTCAACTTAAGTTTAAATATTATTTACCTGAGATACCAAAGATTCAGCCTGTCCTCTGATAATAGTTCCTGCTCTCTAACAGTTTTTTCATCAATTTAAACTCTAATCCACATTCTTTTTTCTTTCCACACTATATTCCCAACAATCACCACTCATAAGCCTTTTTCTTGTTCCTATCCCGGTTAGCCCCTATCTTATCCCTTTCAGAACTAACTCCCTAGCTCTTATGTTTGTCCCTTTCAATATGTCCCATGAATTACCGATTCTTAGCACCCTAATGTACCATTCCCCTCCCTCAACCCTTGAGCCATCTTTAGCGTGACCAAGTCCCCTTCTGCCCTCCTATAATTCTCCATATCACATGCAATTTACCCTGACATCAGCACACAGAGTTGAGTCACGACAAAATCCCTACAACACATTCGTTATTGTCACGACACTTTGCAGAATGAGATCTGAGAAAGTCAATAGACTGCTGTGCACTGCCTGTTTGTCACAGTGACATAGATGCATGTGTAGTGGTACGGTTTTATCATTGGTTAATGGTACCGCGGTTTTACATCCACATTACTTTCTACTATATCTTAAGAGATGCAGGCGTTTCAGTTTTATTGTTAAAAGTTTTCTAATGCATGGGAAGAGATCCAGCACAACTTTATTGCACAAAGGCACAGCAGTACTCTCTGAATCTTCCATGTGCTGTGAGCTTATCAATGTAATTTCTCAATCCATACAATTCCTAAAATAAATGCATAATCAATTTCTAATTCCAACATTATGAAGATTTTTCAAAACCTTATTTGTTTAGTAGAGTGTTTGTCATTCTATCAAGATACCTTTAAAATTGATATCTATTATTTTCATGGAACAGAAACTGTTTTGGCGCATTTTTCTCCAACACAGAACCAATAGTGTGAACAAATCCCTGTAGCCAGTCATGTGATCTCATTCTTTATGGAATGTTTCAGTGATTTTTTAAAAACCGTAGCACATTAATTATACAGCTGTAATAATAAATGGTCTACAGTTGGTCATTTAGACACGCTAACAGAATCAATTATAGACTTCATTTGTTTCAATAAAACATTCTCGGCTCTGCTCTTTCGGTAAAACTTACATGACTGATGTAATCCTACGAGCCAAGTCTTTAATATCGTGTCAATTTCAAAATAATCCATCCTTTTAGTTTTGAAATTAGATCAATGATTTGTGTGGGATCGAATTAAATTCCGGTCCCATTTGTAACTGTTGGAATGTTCACTTAATCTATTTGTGATGTAGGGAGCCCTTTGTTTGATTGACGTAGGAAGCCAAGGTCCCCCATTCCCCCTCCCCAAATGTTATCAATGCTTGGAAGGAAATCTCAGATGGATTGAAATGAGCAAGACACTGTTGATCCAGTGTCTTTTCGCGAAGGGAATAGAGGGAAGTGTTGCTTTTGAATAATTCCCGGAAACATTTAAACTAAACGTTTGGGTGACTAAGATTTTTCTTGTCTGTCTGTTACAGAACGTACTACAAGACATGGAGACCAAGCGACCACAACTGGAGGACCTGCTCAATGCTGCAGAAAGTCTTCAGAAAAATGCCAGCGAGAGTGAGAGGAGAACCCTTAAAGAACGAGGTAGCCATTGCTGTAATTGATCAATTAGCGATTTAACGCATGATATTAATTATAAAGTCGTTAAATTCTAAATGATGCACTTAGTTTTGTTTAAGACAATGTACCACAAGTATTACTAAAAAAAAACTAAATGAATACATTTATAAAAGAATACGATTGATTAACACATTATTAGCTCATAAATTTGTATCACTTTTATTCCATACAATTATTTTTGTTAATTAGGAGATAATGAAATTTACTATTTTTATTCAGCATTGTTTACTATGAAGTAAAAATTCAAGGTACAACATGAAAATTCATGATTTTTTTTAAATGTCTTCATAAAGTTAATTATATTTAACTCATATAAACAATGAACAACGTTACATAGTTCATTTCTAATCATTTGATTTGTTTGTAGCGGAGAAGTTGAGGGAACAGTGGGACGAGGCATATGTCCGCGTGAACCGTCGGAAGAACCAGTTGGATGACATGCTCCTGGAGTGTCGCCAGTTCGACGAGATACATGCAGAGTTTGAGCGCTGGCTCCTACAGGTGGAAGATGAACTGGAAAAAAATCCTGTGGATCCACGAGCCAAAGACGTGGATCAGCAGATCGCCCAGCAACAGGTGAGATGATTGTAACCATAGCAACGCAACTGACAGAGATATTCTGTTAAAGTCGCATAGACACTTATTAATCCATTATGTTATATTTAACATAATCTGCACTAATTTGACTTAACATTTTCTAAAAAAAAAATGAATAGCAAAATTTTATGATCTCTTGAAGAAAAGATAACACTAAGGAAACAGCTTTTAGAAAATTATTTTCTTCCTTGAATAAGTGGAAATTTGTTAATAAAACTAAATTGTAATGAAATTTCGTGCCTTATTACAATGTACTGTAGACTTAGCAATATTTCACTGTAGTTAAACTTCTCACCTTTTTCACCTTCTGTAATGAAGACAAACTTACTATGTCAGCCGATATTAGTTCTTAGCATGCCATATAAACAAAGTACTTGTGAAGGGTTAAATGTACACTGGGAGAATATGAATTAAACCGTTAAGCTTTTTCATATACAGTAATCAAATGTTTATGGTTCTATTTAAGGCTCTTCAAAAGGAGGTTGATGAGCGACAGAGGATCATAGACAATGTGAAGAAACTGGCGAGTAAGCTTATAGACGAATACAGTCACGATGACACAAGTCACGTGAGACTGCAGTTGGAGAAGGCCATGAACCGTTGGTCAACACTACTACACAAGTAAGGACATTTCCTTGACCACACTCAATATTACAAACCTTATCCCTTTCACCCCTATGCAACTTTAGTTGACTCTCCCATGCATTGATCTGGATGAGTCCATTATGGTCTACATTGGTGAAAGGGTTGAATAAACCAGTTCATTTCTAACTTTCACCAATTCTGTCCTTTCTCCCTGCTTCAGGTTTCCTCACTCCGGTAGCACCAGATAAACAGATACGTTGTTCGCTAAACGGAATGTATGGAAATTCTGTAGCTGTTTCAATTAAGGGCAAAGAGGAACGGTTTTAGAGAAAAAAGATCCCTATTTCATCGTCATTGATTATCCTGTTTATCTGAGTGTTCTTTGGAGTTAGAATTTTTGTTAAGAACCTCTGTTGTTCAAGTTTGACATCTGTCATAAAAACGTTATGATATCTTTAACTTTGATGACAGAATGGCATTATTTATAAACATACTGCTGTATAACATGTTTATAAACAACCCCAGAGTACCTAGCGTGTTGACTAGATGTAAAAATGTTGTCACATTGAATACTTAATACCTAGGTGATGCTGTTAGTCTTAATATTTCCAAATACCAATACGGTACAGTCATCAATGTTTGTATTCACTGCTGTTCGACCTTGAAGGGCTTATCTAGATCCTTCTATAAAAGTACATTAATTTTTCATGTGTAGCTTTTGTGATATCCCCTCATCCGTTATGATGTAGAAAACAACAATGTCATGAATTCACAGCATTTTCTTTTTTAAAAGTAGCAAAAAAGTTATGTTAATGAAACTCTGAAGCATCGTTTGAAATGAATCATTTACAGTAGGAATCCATTTGAGATCCTGTGTTTCTATCTACCTTACCGTCAGTCTGGACAACTACTGTTTCTTAGGGGATACAATCTTTCACTTGAATTCTAAGAACAAATATCAAACCAAATTACGACAGTAAAAACCATGTCTTAATGTTTCACAAAAAGAAGGAGGATGGTTTCTATACTGTAGGTGGTTTATTGTAATAATGAAAGGTTTTCGGTTTTGGTTTATGAAGGTCCTTATTTCTGGTGAATGAGTCATTGCTCTCTGTGAAGTAAGCCCTAGGGATCATGAGCTCACAGCATTTATGTTTCTACCTGACTGTAATGGTGTGTCGTGCGAAAAATGTGAGATTTTCTTCTGTTTCTGCGTTTAATTCTCTGTGGGTGATTTAAGTCGGAATCATTCCGCTGTCGTCAGACTTTATGTGCTATGTCCCTGTTCCTCTGTTGCCTTTGTACCAATACCTACACCATTCTATAACAATGTATTTTATCATAGTGGGAATGGTTTTAATTTACTTAAAACAATGGTTTAGCATTAGATGGTCCTAAATGTTCTAGATAGTCTGATAGGGAGAACAGAAGCCTTTAATTGTCCTAGGAAAAGTAGAATAGAACTTCATAAATAGATAAAAGAATATATACATATATTGTCAAGTCCAGATTAACAGACCATTAAGGAGGAAGGAATCATATTTAAATCGGAAATAAAGTTTTCCTTCCACTGTCAGTGTTAGATTGATACACTGTCCAAAAATGTATTGGCCATCTTTGACCATAATAGTAAAAAGGTACTAAAAATGGTAGAGAGGCCTTAATTGAGAGCTAGATCTGTAATACATGTAAAACCTTCGTTTGTTTGGCCCACTGTCCTTGTTTGAATGTAAAACATGGCCTTCGTTTGTTTGGCCCACTGTCCTTGTTTGAATGTAAAACATGGCCTTCGTTTGTTTGGGCCACTGACCTTGTTTGAATGTAAAACATGTCCTTTGTTTGTTTGGCCCACTGACCTTGTTTGAATCTAAAACATGTCCTTGTTTTTGTTTTGCCCAATAAGCAATTTCACAGGATTCTTTGACTTAACAAAGCCAGATTGTACTGTAATATTATGGACATAATAATATGCTACAAGATCGTAGGAAAATTTATTCTTTTTCCCGTAATTATTCATTACCTATTTCCTTTGCTAGGCTGGCGTACAACATTAAGACGCTGCAGAACAACCGTAACTCCATTCAACAGCTGGACACAACACTCGACACCTTCACCCACTGGCTTAGTGGCATAGAGAATAGCTACAAACGGCTCTCTGACGAAACCTGCAAAGAGGAGGTGCGACAGAACGAGGACCTCTGCAGGGAGTTCCTAGAGCAATTCAGGGTAGGTCACTCTAGTTGTATGTTTTCCCTAGATGAGACACTGGAGTCAATATACCGATATGAAGATGTTTTTATTTGTATCCAGCTCGACATGTTTGAAATAATTGTTTTTCAGTGGTTTTAATTTTGCGCGGATCATTCGATATACTCCGGTCTTTTGATGTGGCCTATCATAAAATGTGGAAGCAGGATTGCAGAACATTTGAAGATATTTGTGTTGATTTTACAGACATCACTTTTAACAGTGTCATCTGCGACAAGTCAAACCATGTGAAGCTTTATCAGAACATACATTTTATAATGACCATAGAAAAGGAGAAAAATGTCATTGTTCAGTTTAATTTCTGTACCATCACTTGTGTGAGGTTTTGTGGAGAGTTCATTGGGAGTTATTATTGGGCCAAATTTTAACGGCAGCTGTGTCTTGATGACTTTGCAATATTTTGAGATGATGTTGACATTTAGGATCGAACATTATCTGAATAAAAATACACATATACAATATCATTTTCCTGATTCTAATATCAAATAAAATGTGAATGTTATTATGATTTTCATATGTACTTTTTAGACAAAAAAGTATTAGCCAGCTAGAATACGGCTATTACTCTGTTTTATTGACAAGAGATCAGATAATCTCACTCAAATTTCATTGTTTTAAAAGTGTTCCAACACACAGATCAATTATCAGACTTACAAAATTATGTTTATTACTGCCTTGTAATATCACAGAACATTATACATTTAGCTCAATGTTGCATTAATGCATAATGAAAGATCAGATTCTCTTCAATATATCACTCATATTACATTGTATGGGAAATCTTTCACCATCAAGGGTCCTGTAATATCATAGAAAATATGAATTGTTGAGCACTGTGTTAGTGTCTGACAATATTAAGGCTGTATGCTACATTACATGGTATAATTATGTTTTCTGTTAGAGTTGTGTCCCTTTATAAACAAAACATACCAGTATCTCATAATCAGTGTGACGACATTCTTCAGCACAAAGACGTCATCAATTAATAAATCATAACTCTTTTGAAATGGAGGTTGATATGTTTGAATAAGCCAGACTGTCATGCTGGTAATATTGAGGCCTAGTACATGTACATGTGTACCTACACACTAACCCGGCAGTACAACATTGTTCCGATCTTCACAATATCCCTAGAGGGTGGTGGTCGTCGACTACAATATCTGGTACCACGTAGGCCTTAATTAACTAGTATCTTTCATCTCATTTCATTAAATATTGCCATGGTAGTTCCCTGGCTGTTTGGAGATCCGAGATGCTGTGCATTCTCTATTTGTCTAAAAGCCGTATCATTCATTGACTCTGTTTAATTGTGGGAGTGTTATATATACCTAGAGATACGGTAACCAACCTTTCTTCTATATAAAATGTGTTGACACCCCCTCACCTCGGTAAACAATCGGGAAAATCTATCATGTACTTTTCAGTGATACAAACGTGTGATGTTTTGAACAATAGGATATAATATCCTTTTGCATTTGATTGATATCTTGCATTCCATTTTGTTCACTGGATTGCATTGACTAATGAATATTGCTGCACTCTCTGACTGGCCAACTGATGATTGAATGTAAAGAAATCTGTATCAGATAAACATTTTGAAATTTGATTGAAAATATTTCATGTATAATAAGTGAGGGTTTTGAATTTCAGGTTAAATATTATTGTCTATGGGGAAAATTCCTTGGTACAGTGATTCCTGATGGTTAAAATGACCTGTAATATTGAATTAGGAGAAATACAGATATCTAGAATCGATTCTATAGTAATTCACCAGATTACCTCTGTTTTGTTGCTAAGGGCGTACAATATCCTAGCTAGTAAAGGCCAGTCTTCTGATACAGACTCACTAGACATTCAGAAACACAGGCGATGGACTTGCAGGTGACGGCCGCAAGACTTGTGTTCATTAAAACTTATCAAACTGTAAATGTATAGATTGGACGGGAATATTGTCCAGAGGTAGTTTGAATTGGACTGTGTCTGGTTCAGAACTAAACTCAAGTGTCCAGTGGTATATGCTACAAAAATTGTCCTGCACTGAGCATTGATAGCTGTCTCCTAATGGAAAACACCCTATTTGTGTAATCAAGGTCAAATGCCAAGGTCAAATGTCAGGTCAAGTTAATAACTGAAGGCAGGAGGTGATGTCCAGTGGGACAAGAAATAAGTCTGTATTGGTACAAGTTTCCTTATTTAAAGCTGAATTCTTTCCTAAAACTTGGGAACAAATATTTAAAGGTCAATAATCAAGGTCATAACGATTTTAAAATAAGCTACATTTTAATATCTCACCTCCTGTGCATTAAGAAATGTAGTCCATTGCCTGCAAAAACAATATGCAAGACTGCAGATTTCATGAAGTTTATTCCTTTTTAAGATATATATTTTTATTGGAGTGTTTGCTTTGAGACTAAAAGGAGAACCAGGCTGTTTCCCAAGTACACTTGTGAGTGTCCATACTGATCCAATATACACAGCCATAGAACAGGCTGTTTCCCAAGTACACTTGTGAGTTTCCATATTGATCCAATATACACAGCCATAGAACAGAACACAATATCTATTGGGATTGGTTTAAAACTAATTTGCCTGCACTGAGCATTGATTAGGAATCTAGTACTTATACAAATACACTTGAAATGAACCATTTTGTTAGTAGTTGTAGGTAGTCAGTTTATATGATGCATTAAGTTGAGAAAAGCATGGAATGGTATCGACTTCTACCAAGAAATGGAAGTTTCTTGGGAACCATTTTGTTTACTATTACTTGGTACGTATCTTGATATGGGAACTTGGGATGTACGGGTATACTGCAAATATCTGTTCCGATTGCTGTTGTCTTTATAGTTTAATAAAAAAATGAGGAGTCAGCACAGACACTGTTTCTGCCAATTTACTCTGGGGATACGTTGGTGTTTTTGTTTCTATATGTCATGTACGATATCCTGTGATACTATATACTGTAAATGTGTTTTTTTTAGCATAATAAAATGTTTGTGGTTTATCAAATTTTAATTGATTAGCCCACTTATGAATTGGTACACCAAGAATATATGCAATGAAGAACAATATACAAGAATTACAATTGGCACATACACAATTTGGCGCATACACAGTTTGGCGCCAATTTGGCGCATACACAATTTGGCGCAATGTTTAAAGCACTGTCTGAGTCTGCCTTGTAGAGTATATTTTCAGCACTGTTACTTTGGAAATAAGTTTTAATTTCAGTTTACCGGGAAGAATAAACTTTCTTTTTGTAGTCGCTTAGTACCTTTATTCCAGTTGTTTATGTCAGTTTACTGGACAGAATAAGCTGTTTTGTGGTAGTCACTGAGTACCTTTATACCAGTTGTTTATGTCAGTTTACCAGGCAGAATAAGCTGATTTGTGGTAGTCACTGAGTACCTTAATACCAGTTGTTTATGTCAGTTTACCAGACCGAATAAGCTGTTTTGTGGTAGTCACTGAGTACCTTTATACTAGTTGTTTATGTCAGTTTACCAGACAGAATAAGCTGTTTTGTGGTAGTCACTGAGTCCCTTTATCCCAGTTGTTTATGTCAGTTTACCAGACAGAATAAGCTGTTTTGTGGAAGTCACTGAGTACCTTAATACCAGTTGTTTATGTCAGTTTACCAGGCAGAATAAGCTGTTTTGTGGTAGTCACTGAGTACCTTAATACCAGTTGTTTATGTCAGTTAACTGGACAGATTAAGCTATTTTGTGGTAGTCACTGAGTACCTTAATACCAGTTGTTTATGTGAGTTTACCAGACAGAATAAGCTGTTTTGTGGTAGTCACTGAGTACCTTAATACCAGTTGTTTATGTGTTGTACACATAGTCTTTATAGTTAAGAGTTATTGATCGATGGAGGAGAGACAATAATCCATTAGATAGCTGTCCTCCCCTCGAGCCCACGTTATTGTCGCCACCGATGCATCAACTTCCTGTATAGATGGTCCACATCAGTTCTCAATTACACATTTTTGGATAAATTATGTTCTACAAATTACAAAGCTATAGCCATCAATAGATTTCCATCCCATAATATCTTCATAATATTCGAATCTAATGAAAATTTTACCATTTTCTGTTGAAACAGTTTTTTTACCAAAAAAAAAAAAAAAAAAAAAATACTGGTTCAAGGGTGTTTATGTTGTAGGCTGTTAAGAACCATTAGAAGTATTTCCTATTTTTAAGAACCACTAGCACCAGAACCATTTCCTGTTTATCAGCTGATATATTTAAACCAGATGTGAAGATGATTTCTATGGTGCCATTAATATATGTTCAGGTACATGAATCAATAAACTGATTGAGTGACATCAGTATTTTTTTTGTTTCTCTTTTTACAAACTTTACAAATCTTACCTTATTACTGTCCTGATATATGGGTGATGTATTTTCCACTGAGCTGACCCCAGAAATCAGGTTTTAGTAATCCAGTTTTCTTGATCATCATGTTCATGGTGTTTATTACTGATCTGACTTTGCGCAGTGATAATAAAAATGGCTACTCGATCATTTTGGGGCTATTTCCTAGCAAAGTATCAATAAAGCTGTCTGTGGAATTGTTTCATGGGTGTAACCAATAGTTGATTTTTAGATTTTCCTGATGGATTATGACTAGTTTATTTCCAAAAGGAGTTGACTCCAATTGTCTGGAGATACAAAAACAGGCTCAGAAACCAACATGTATAGTCGCCAAGGTAGCAAGCCTCATTACCAGTGTTTATAGTTGATTTGTTGGTGTACGAAGCCCTCAGTGAGACTGACAGTTTGTGTAAGTGGTGTTCCCTACCATAGTAAGGGAGTGGGAAAGAAACCTTAGTGTTAACAACAAATTAGTGTTGTTATTGTGACAAACACCAAAGTATGCTCAACTGATTGTAATATTGTACAATAAGGCTCTGCGGCTAACTTTGCTAGATTGATCAGAATGATAGATTGATCAG